ACTTAGCTGATGATTGATTATAAAGCTTGTTTGGCCCTGCTCCGGGAGAGAGCCCTGAGCAGGGCCGGCGCTTCCATTGAGGCAAGCTAGGCGGCCACCTAGGACAGCAGAATAGAGAGGGCGGCATCCACGAAACTACCCTCGCCACCCGCACCCTCATCCGCGTCTAGGGTGGCAGAATAGAGAGAGTGGCGTCCCCGAAACTACCCTCACCACCCGCGCCCACAATTACATCCGCGTCGAGGGTGGCAGAATAGAGAGAGTGGCGTCCCCGAAACTACCCTCACCACCCGCGCCCACAATTACATCCGCGTCTAGGGTGGCAGAATAGAGAGAGCAGCGTCCCCGAAACTACCCTCACCACCCGCGCCCACAATTACATCCGCGTCTAGGGTGGCAGAATAGAGAGAGCAGCGTCCCCGAAACTACCCTCACCACCCGCGCCCACAATTACATCCGCGTCTAGGGTGGCAGAATAGAGAGAGCAGCGTCCCCGAAACTACCCTCGCCACCCGCGCCCGCAATTACATCCGCGTCTAGGGTGGCAGAATAGAGAGAGCGGCGTCCCCGAAACTACCCTCGCCACCCGCGCCCACAATTACATCCGCGTCTAGGGTGGCAGAATAGAGAGAGCAGCGTCCCCGAAACTACCCTCACCACCCGCGCCCACAATTACATCTGTGTCTAGGGTGGCAGAATAGAGAGAGCAGCGTCCCCGAAACTACCCTCGCCACCCGCGCCCACAATTACATCCGCGTCTAGGGTGGCAGAATAGAGAGAGCGGCGTCCCCGAAACTACCCTCACCACCCGCGCCCACAATTACATCCGCATCTAGGGTGGCAGAATAGAGAGAGCAGCGTCCCCGAAACTACCCTCGCCACCCGCGCCCACAATTACATCCGCGTCTAGGGTGGCAGAATAGAGAGAGCAGCGTCCCCGAAACTACCCTCGCCACCCGCGCCCACAATTACATCCGCGTCTAGGGTGGCAGAATAGAGAGAGCGGCGTCCCCGAAACTACCCTCGCCACCCGCGCCCACAATTACATCCGTGTGTAAGGTGGCAGAATATAGAGAGCGGCGTCCCCGAAACTACCCTCACCACCCGCGCCCACAATTACATCCGCGTCTAGGGTGGCAGAATATAGAGAGCGGCGTCCCCGAAACTACCCTCGCCACCCGCGCCCACAATTACATTCGCGTCTAGGGTGGCAGAAAAGAGAGATCGGCGTCCCCGAAACTACCCTTGCCACCCGCGCCTCAGTTATATCCGCGTCTAGCGCGGCAGAATAGAGAGGGTGGCGTCCCCTAAACTACCCTTGCCACCCGCGCCTCAGTTATAGCCGCGTGTAGGGGGGCAGAATAGACCAACCCCCCCTCCCCCCAACAGTTTCACTTCAGGTTTGAGGGCGGCGTGACCGTCCTTTGTCTAGAACGGCAGGTCAGCTTGCTCCGGCCCTGGCCCTGAGCTTATAAGATCCTCGATCCCGGGGCTCCCTTCTATTTGCAAGGCAAGAAGGGAGTTTGAGCTCAGGCAGATCTGGAGGACTCCCCTTCTGTAGTAGCTGAACAGATAGTGATCGCTCCTAAGAGATAACTACTGACTAGGAGCATGTCTATGGTGCTGATTTGGAGTAGTCAAATAACTGAAGTTGCATGTTTTTGGACGGTGGGAGGAAACCAGGGAACCCGGTGGAAACCTACGTGAGCACGAGGAGAACGTGTAAACTCCACACAAAAATGTCTGCTGATTGGTAAGGACTACAACCAGTGGCGGTCTTGCAGTGAGGCAACAGTGCTAACCACTGGGCCACTGTGCCACCCATCTAGGAAAGGAGGAGGAGTAGGGGTGGACGGGGGGATTCTTCAAAATGAAGATGACTGTGGTATGAAACCTTGGGCATTTATAGTGGCTTAGGAATCATAGTATAATAATGTATAGTATAAAAAACATAGTTAATAATAATAATAAGCATAGTGTGAATAATGTTTTCGTTTCATGTGTTCAAGAGAATAGAACCGTCGCTTCCTGAGAAACTAGTGAGAAAAAATATTATGACTATGATTAAATTAATTGAATAAACGATCATCTCCAAGCAGCACAAGCTCCTCTTTGTCTTCTATAATAGACTACCTGACTACCGAAAGTACTAAAAGTCTTCGATCGCACTTGTAAGATCAACAAACAATAACTTGACTTCTAGTTGATCATTTGGAAAAGTGTTGAAGGTGGATTTCTCTGATGAATCATCTGTTGATCTGCATCAATCATCACCAATACTGCAGAAGACCTACTGGAACCAGCATGGAGCCAAGATTCTCACTGAAATCAGTCAAGTTTGGTGAAGGAGAAATCATGGTTTGGAGTTACATTCAGTATGGGGGCGTGCGAGAGATCTGCAGAGTGGATGATCAACATCAACAGCCTGAGGGATCAAGACATCTGTGCTGCCCATTACATTACAAACCACAGGAGAGGGATAATTCTCCAGCAGGATAGCGCTCCTTATACTTCAGCCTCCACATCAAAGCTCCTGAAAGCAAAGAAGGTGCAGGATTGGCCAGCCCAGTCACCAGAGATGAACATTATTGAGCATGTCTGGGGTAAGATGAAGGAGGAGGCGTTGAAGATGAATCCAAAGGATCTTGATGAACTCTTGTTTGCTTTTTTTGATGCAATTGTGTATGCATTAATTGATTTAAGAGTGATTTGAAGGTTTAAATGATCATTTAAACAAGTGTACACTACCTGACAAAAGTCATGGATCCCAGTTGTAAGAGCAACAAATAATAACTTGACTTCTAGTTGATCATTTGGAAAAGTGTTGAAGGTGGATTTCTCTGATGAATCATCTGTTGATCTGCATCAATCATCACCAATACTGCAGAAGACCTACTGGAACCAGCATGGAGCCAAGATTCTCACAGATATCAGTCAAGTCTGGTGAAGGAAGAATCATGGTTTGGGGTTACATTAAGTATGGGGGCGTGCGAGAGATCTGCAGAGTGGATGATCAACATCAACAGCCTGAGGTATCAAGACATTTGTGCTGCCCATTACATTACAAACCACAGGAGAGGGACAATTCTCCAGCAGGATAGCGCTCCTTCTCATACTTCAGCCTCCACATCAAAGCTCCTGAAAGCAAAGAAGGTCCAGGATTGGCCAGCCCAGTCACCAGACATGAATATTATTGAGCATGTTTGGGGTGAGATGAAGGAGGAGGCGTTGAAGGTGAATCCAAAGGATCTTGATGAACTGCAAGAACGTTTTCTCTGCCATTCCATATTTAATCAGTGATTTGAGTCATGTCAGAGATGTATGGATGCAGTTCCCAAGCTCATGATGGAGTCAGACACAGTATTCATTCTGTCTCCACTGCAGCAGGACTTTATATTCTATACTGGACATTATTTCTGTTCAGTGACCAGACTTTAGTCTAAGCAAAGTCAGACCTTCTGTACTATAAGAAGCGTAATCTTGAGGCCTTTGCCTTTCATATAAGCCACTGCTGATACCAAATGATCAACTAGAAGTCAGGTTATTATGTGTTGTTTCTAAAACTTGAATAGGCGACAAGACTTTTGTCAAGTAGTGTAAATAATTAATTAAAAAATCAATATTAATTTAATTTATTTAATAAAATATGAATTCATTCCTTAGTGGTTTGCTTGTTAAAATTCAGTATAATGTTTGTTACTGAGTTCAAAAATATTCCAAAAACACCCAATATTGTTAAATAAATACAAACATAATAATAATAATAATTTGGTTATTCAGTTTTTCCCAGTTTTCATATGCATATTTATGATTCCATTCTGCGTTTCATTTATATGCAATACTCCAAAATAAAAATAAATAAAAATACATGCATTAAAAAAGAGGTGGATGTACACTATTGCGTCCCACTGCAGGCTTTACATGCTCACAAAGACGTTCACACTGGCGGCAGCACAGATCCACCACTGAAATCATCGTCAGAATTTCGCTCATTGCTTGTGCATGCTGTATTTCAGGTCTCTGGGAGAGGAATGTGATGATTTGAACGCTATGAATGGAGACGGCTGCTCCAGCCACTGTAAGAAGGAGCCGTTCTTCAACTGCATTGGTGAGTGCAGAGGAACTACTCCACATACTGCTGCTCTGCCTTTATGTTTCAGATGAGATCTTGTAAGGTAGTAGTTGGGGTTAGGTATTAGATTGGATTAGGGATGTAGAATAATATTATACTGAACACACTGTAAACCATTCATCAGACAATAAGTCATGACAACAGGTGTCTTTATTTCAGTTTGACTTAGTTTAGTAAGTTGATCAGGTTTCAAGGAATGCAAAGTTTAACTTAATATGTTGATTCAGTTTGACTGATGTAAATTATGAGTTGCACAATGGCTCAGTGTCACCTCACAGCAAGAAGGTCGCTGGTTTGAGTCCCAGCTGGGCCAGTTGGCATTTCTGTGCGGAGTTTGCATGTTCTCCCCGTGTTGGCATGGGTTTCCTCCGGGTGCTCCGGTTTCCCCCACAGTCCAAACACATGCACTATTGGGGAATTAAGTAAGCTAAATTGGCTGTAACGTATGTGTGTGAACGTGAGACTGTATCGGTGTTTACCAGTTCTGGGTTGCGGCTGGAAGGGCATCCGCTGTGTAAAACATATCCTGGAATATTTGGCGGTTCATTCCGCTGTGGTGACCCCTGATGAATAAAGGGACTAAGCCGAAGGAAAATGAATGAATGAACCATGCAGGCACAGGACATCAACATGACATCAGATTGACGTTGTACACCAACATTGAGGAACGTTGCATTTTGATTGGAAATTAAATTCGGGTTGACGTCAGAACTCAACCCGACACAATGTCCAGCAGCAGACAGGTGTTGTATTATGGTTACTTTGCGATATTACCTAAAAATAACCAAATATCAACATCTAATGATGCTACAGCTTGATGTTGTGTGGACGTTACCACTATGACGTCTATCAGACGTTAAATTTTGGTTGCCGTTCCCCGATCTGTTCCGGGACCTCGCAATTTACAAATCAACCACTGAACTTGACATTGTGTGGACGATACCGCTATGACGTTTATCAGACGTTGGATTTGGGTTGCCATACCTGATGAATAGATGTCAGTAATTGATATCAATATGACGTCGATTTAAGATGTTGGCTTTACGTTGAATTTTGGTTAATCTCCAACACAACCTAGAATCAACCAAATATCAACGTCTAATGATGTAACAGCTTGACGTTGAGTGAACGTTACCACTATGATGTCTATTAGACGTTGGATTTTGGTTGCCATACCTGACGAATAAATGTCAGTATTTGATGTCGATATGACGTTGGTTTAGGATGTTGGCTTTACGTTGAATTTTGGTTCATTTCCAACACAACCTAGAATCAACCAAATATCAAGGTCTAATGATGTTACAGCTTGACGTTGTGTAGACATTACCACCATGACGTTTATCAGACGTTGGATTTTGGTTGCCATACCTGACGAATAGATGTCAGTATTTGACATCAATATGATGTTGGCTTAGGATGTTGGCTTGACATTGAATTTTGGTTAATTTCCAACACAACCTAAAATCAACCAAATATAAACATCTTATGATGCTACAGCTTGACGTTGAGTGGACGTTACCACTATGACGTCTATCAGACATTGGACTTTGGTTGCCATACTCGACGAATAAATATCAGTATTTGATGTCGATATGACGTCAGTTTAGGATGTTGGCTTGACGTAGAATTTTGGTTCATTTCCTACACAACCTAAAATCAGCAAAATATCAACGTCTAATGATGTTACAGCTTGACGTTGTGTAGACGTTACCACTATGATGTCTATCAGACGTTGGATTTTGGTTGCCATACCTGACGAATAAATGTCAGTATTTGACGTCAATAGGGCATTAGTTTAAGATTTTGACTCAACGTTGGATTTTGGTTAATTTCCAACACAATCTAAATTCAACCAAATATCAACGTCATGTCACGTCATTATTGGACATCAAAATATCGTTGTCTTTAGATGCTGGTGATCTAAATCTAACCTAACATTGATGACTTTTGACAATGTGTGTCTGCTGGGAACCTCCACCCCATACATCTTGTTTTGATATCCTTCAGGTGGGATCAAGTGCTAATTAGGCGGGGTCAAACACCCCCGAAACACCCTATAACTCACACCCTGTCTGCTATACGGCTGTGACAGAAAGTGTGGCTCGCTTTTAAAAGAGTAGGTCTCTGCTGCACTTTGTTTGTGGTTGACGGTTTTGCGGGATGTGTGACCGTCTCGCTCCTAAAAAAGCATCTTTGAGAGCAGCACTTGAGCAGTAATAGCTTTCATTCGCTCCCTCCAGAGCCAGAGCTGTTTGGCTTTTTTTATATCAGCAGCATTATGACATCCTTGTAAAACCTGCAAGACATTTAATTCAGAATGAAAGCACTAACAGATTCATGAAGGATGTCTTGGCACGTTCGGCTGTGCTGTATTATTAATAAAACAATGCTTTCCGGACTCTGGTTTTTCTTTTATGGTGCCTGAGGAAGGATTACGTCATTGAAAGACGACGCTGGGGGACTTTTGTTTACTGTTGGACACGAATGCAAAGAGCCTCGTAAGTCGGAAGCAGACACTTATACTGCTCATGATATACAGCACAGCGGCAGTGACATTCACTCAGTGTAACTGCTGGGAGCTGAGAGTCAGTGCTGCTGCTTATTTCACATGGATAAAGCTCAGAGTGTCACAACAGAAAGCGTTTAGTGGTGCGTGTGTGTGTGCGTATGTTTGTGTACAGTATATGCATATGTGTGTGTGTGTGTGTGTGTGTGTTTGTCCCCCTCTGCAGCCCCTTGTTTCAACATCAGCAGAGTTGAGCAGGGAAGCTCTGGAATTTGTGCAGAGTTTTGAGCCAACTTGGCATTGCATTACTCCATCAGCCTGCTGGAAGACCTTACTCACTGACACACACACACACACACACACACACACACAGACAGACAGACAGACACAGATAGAGAGACAGACAGACAAACAGACAGACAGACAGACATCAGACGGACAGAGACCAGAAAAACAGGCAGGCAGACAGACAGACATCAGACAGACAGAAAGAAACCGACATCAGACAGACAGACAGACAGACAGACATCATACAAACAGAGACCACACAGACGGACAGACAGACAGACAGACAGACAGACAGAGAGAGACAGACAGATAAAGATCCTACAGACAGACAGACAGACAGGCAGACAAATGGACAGACAGACATAGATCAGACAGACAGATAGTGAGATGGATAGACAGGCAGACAGCTGACATATATAGACAGACAGACATCAGACAGACAGACAGACAGACTGACAGACACAGAGAGAGAGACAGACAGACATATAAAGATTCTACAGACAGACAGGCAGACAAATGGACAGACAGACAGACATAGATCAGACAGACAAACAGAAAGACAGACAGACAGACATCAGACTGATAGAGACCAGACAAACAGGCAGGCAGACAGAAAGACAGACATCAGACAGACAGAGAGACCAGACAAACAGAAAGAAACCAACATCAGACAGACAGACTAACTGAAAGACAGACTGACTGACAGAAAGAGAAAGACAGACAGAGACCAGACAGACAGACAGACAGACAGATAGACAGACAGATAAACTTCAGAAAGAGATCAGACAGAGACACTGACATCAGACAGACAGACAGACAGAAAGACAGACAGACAGACAGCAAGACATCAGACAGACAGACAGACAGACAGCAAGACATCAGACAGACAGACAGACAGACAGCAAGACATCAGACAGACAGCAATACATCAGACAGACAGACAGGCAGACAGACAGCAAGACATCAGACAGACAGACAGACAGACATCAGACAGACAGACAGACAGACAGACAGACATCAGACAGACAGACAGACAGACAGACAGACAGACACAGACAGACACAGACAGACAGACAGACAGACAGACAGACATCAGACAGACAGACACAGACAGACACAGACAGACAGACAGACAGACAGACAGACAGACAGACATCAGACAGACAGCAAGACATCAGACAGACAGACAGACAGACAGACAGACAGACAGACAGACAGACAGACAGACAGACAGACAGACAGACAAACTTCAGAAAGAGATCAGACAGAGAGACTGACATCACACAGAAAGACAGACCAACAGACTGACGGATAGACAGACAGAAAGACAGACATTAGACAGACAGACAGACAGACAGATAGACAGACAGACAGAGAGACATGCCTGGTGATTTCCAAAAATCAATTTATTTTTATTAAACCTTAAGAATTCCCATATGTTGTCCATAACCTACTGAAGAGAAAAACAGTCGTTTATAGTAACTGTATACATTTATAGTTACAATAGTAGATTATAGTTACTAGTTGTATTGGATTGCGATCCCCTGTGGCAATGACATTATATTAAAGACACAGCAATAGCTTGAGATGCAGCAGATTGATTTTTATAACACCAGGTTAAACTTTCTGGCACATTTACAGCACTCACATACATAAAAAATGAAAAGAAGAATAGACTTGGTGTGCGCCATTGCATGCAAGGTTTCTGTATTTATAACCACATCAGAGGATATTGGGGGTCGCGCGTCACTGGCATTGTTATTTTGGGGGTCACGGTCTGAAAAGTTTAAGAACCCCTGGTTTAGCTCACCAATTCACCTATTGTCATTTGCACGGGGAGAATATGCAAACTCCGACTTTTTGATTATATTGTGCAGTGTTAATTACTCAGTGCATTTGCAGCACTATTATAATCATTATTCTGTAAATAAGTTCATATGAGATGCCAGACAGACAGATTGACTGTGTGGGAGAGAAAATGTGAAAGTGAGAAGATGTGAACAGGAAAGGCTGAAAACACTTGTATGAGGAACAGCAGCTCCAGGGCCTGGAAAATGCATCCCGTATAAACTCCTGTCTCGCTCATCAGGAAAACCTAATGTATCCGAAAAATATGAAAAATGCTGCACTCAGAGGAAGAGAGCCAGGAGGGCACATCTGAAACCAATGTGTGCAAATCCTCCCGAATGCCTTCATCTGCTGGGATTCTGATGTTTTCAGGGTCCGAAATGAACACCCGCGAGCAGCAAATCCGAGAATCCACTCTGCAGTTTGTCTGGAAACTTTATTGGGATTTTCAGCACGATGGTTTTAGATGACATCTGAGAAGGGCAGTTTGATCCTTACTGATGTAAATGACAAGCGGAAATACAAGCCGTCTGCTCAGTAAAACTGCAGTTCTCTACGGCTGACATGTGTGTTGGACAGTGCTCTCACACACACACTCACACACACAACTCACAACACAGTACATATACTCAAGTTATACTATGTCAGTAGAGTGTCACTTAGAAAAAAAAAAACTTGTGCATTTTTCACGTGGTTTAATTATTGTATTTGTACAGTATAAATATTTCAATGTCTCTTTTGATACAAGATACGTATTTTCAGGTCAAGAATATATGATGGATAGAGTTGCATGGCATTGTTGCACTGCAAAAATATAAAAAAATAAAAATAATAAAAAAAGAATGAATGAATGAATAAATAAATAAATAAATAAATGAATGAATGAACAAACTAATAAATAAATAAATAAATAAATAAATGAATGAATAAATAAATAAATAAACGGATGAATGAACAAACTAATAAATGAATAAATGATAAAATGAATAAATAAATAAATAAATAAATAAATAAATATTAAATGAATGAATGAATAAATAAAAAAATAAATTAACAAATTAACAAACTAATAACTGAATAAATAAAGGAACGAATAAAAAAAAAATAAAGGAACAAATGAATTAAATAAATTAATTAATTAATTATTACACATTAATTACACATTAATTAATTATTACACATTAATTATTACACATTAACGTATTACACATTAATTACACATTAATTAATTAATTAATTAATTAATGAACAAATGAATAAACAAATAAATAAATAAATAAATGAATAAATAAACAAAAAAATTAACAAACTAATAAACAAATCAATATATAAATAAAGGGACGAATGAAAAAATAAACAAATAAAGGAATGCATCAACGAACAAATAAATTAATAAATAAACGAATGAATGAACAAATAAATAGACAAACAAATAAAACTAAATAAATAAATGAATTAATGAGCAAATAAATAAACAAATAAATATATTAATTATTTAATTAACAAATGAACAAATAGATAAAAAATATAAACGAATAAAAAAAAATAAATGAATAAAAAATGTCAAATAAATAAATAAATAAACAAATAAATAAATAAATAAATAAATCAAATGAACAAATAAATAAATAAATGAATAAATAAATAAATATATATATATATATATATATATATATATATATATATATATATATATATATATATATATATATATATATATATATATATATATATATATATATATATATATATATATATATATATATATATATATATATATATATATATATATATATATATATATATATATATATATATATATATATATATATATATATATATATATATATATATATATATATATATATATATATATATATATATATATATATATATATATATATATATATATATATATATATATATATATATATATATATATATATATATATATATATATATATATATATATATATATATATATATATATATATATATATATATATATATATATATATATATATATATATATATATATATATATATATATATATATATATATATATATATATATATATATATATATATATATATATATATATATATATATATATATATATATATATATATATATATATATATATATATATATATATATATATATATATATATATATATATATATATATATATATATATATATATATATATATATATATATATATA